TAATCTCACAACACATGAGCAGACTCAACCATAGTTTCAACTGGGAAACTGTGAGCATCCTAGACCAAGCTAAACCCAAAAACACTAGGGGATTCCTGGAAGCTTGGCACTCAGACAAATCAGCCACATTTACACACCATTCAAAAGAGACAATAAAAAAAGCTAAGAAGGAAACAAAAAGTCCAGAACACATCCTCTCTAGCAGCCTACACCCAGATAAGCAGAGATTAACACCAGACAAACAATCAAGCAGAAACCATACCCTAATCAAGGAACTACCAAGGAGAAAACCACACCCCCACCAACACTGGCAGGGCAAGCTACTGTATATAAACAGGGAGCAAACCCCACACTCACTCACACTGATAATGTTACTTACAGTAGTTGGGGTAATGAAATGTCTGCAAGCAAACAACCAAGCTCGTGTCCTGCACAATAGCCTGTAGTATTCTGCTGCTCTGCTAATGCAGATATACTGTCGTTGATATGGGCTGTCTAATAAGCTTCTTTTTTCTTAATCATGGAATTTACTACTGTATTGTTAAAAATCTCTTTCTCTTCTCCTCCATCTTTGGCTCCCTTTCTAGAACAACCTGACAGAGCTGAAGTCCTTTGGATCTCCTCCAGAAGCAGTGGTTAATGTAACAGCAGCAGTTATGATCCTTACTGCTCCAGGTGGCAAAATACCAAAAGACAGAAGTTGGAAAGCAGCAAAAACCATGATGGGCAAAGTAGACACTTTCCTGGATTCCCTGAAGAAATATGACAAAGAACACATTCCGGAACCTTGCCTGAAAGCTTTTAAGTAAGAGGCATCTACACATGTGTTCTTACACTGAAATAAACTGAAGCAGCAGTTCATGCATTAAATCAGATGCAAAAAAACCAGAGTGTATTTTGCCTAGGGCCTTCCTCTCTGTAGCTCAAGGTCAAAAGTGAGGCAAATGGCAATATGGCGGCTCAGAGACAGCACAGGCTCTGAATGCAGACGGTCCCAGGGCATCCAGGCATGGCTGGGAATTCTGCCCTGAAACCCTGAGAAGCCTCTGTTCAGTATTGCCGACAGTACTGAGCTCGGTGGCACTATGTCGTCCCAGTCCTAGAGGGAGGCCGTATGTCTCTCCAGTGCCCAGGGCGGATTTTCTCCTTCCTGTTCCTGTCTTCTTCCTTCTCACACCAGGCCGGTAGGCTCAAGACATGTGAAGTCAAGCCAGAGCTTCAAAGAATGAACCAAGCAAGCAGAGCTCACCAGCCGCTTAGCATTTTCCTAGGACCTCATGCACGTGCAAGGAGAGCAGGTGCCTTGCTCCCCCAGATGAGTCACAGTTCTCAGATCGCTAGACTTAATTTTTATTAAGAGCTCATCTGTAACCCTCCTAATTGCTCAGCTAAAAGGCAACAAATGTAACCACAATTTTGCCCATTTTGTAAGAAAATCTGTTCTTGCATGTATGGCCTTTAGTGACTAAATGTACAGTGCTGGCAACAAGATGGAGTGACTGGAGAAGGACTTTCCTGATTTTATTTATTTATTTATTTAGATATCGCGCTCTCTCTCTCTCTCTCTCTCTCTCTCTCTCTCTCTCTCTCTAGATATAGATATAGATATAGATATAGATATAGATATAGACCAGCCCCTCTCATCACAGCCACTCTGAGTGGCAAGCAAAGTTTAAACAGAAACCACAATACTTTAAAACATACAATACTAGCGTATAATTCAAAACAAAAACAGCAGCTGAGAGTAAACAAGCAAAATAATATTAACCCACCCAGGCTTTACTAACTTCACAGCCTGGCAAACAACCCGTTTTTCAACACTTTCCAGAAAGGCGGCAATCTGAGCCCAGAGGGCAGGGACCGTGACACAAAAGGCACGTTTCCTGGTTCCCGCAGGAGGGCATCCTTCCATTGATAGGACCTGAAGTGTGCCCCTCCTGGCAGGTCTTGCAGGGAGGGGAAGAGACCGTTGGAGAGAGACAGTCCTTCACGTATCTAGGACTTGCTGAGAGAGGGAGAAAGAGAAAGAGATGGAAGAGCCACTTCGTTGTACATTACTTTTTTGTGGCTTCTCACCCTATTGGCCACTATGGGCAATAAATACGTATAATCTTTAGTGGAGGGATTCCCCTTTTTGACTCCTTTATGTTCCCTCTTTGACACCACCTAGCATGCCTGTAAGTAGATTGCCTGATGCTCTCACCACTTCCAGTTCCTGCTTCTTGTCCTCACAATTCCTCTTTGTACAATTCCCCTCCAGTAATAAAGTAAATATCATGCCGGGCTCCATGCAGTCTAGCAGGCTACGTGACCTTTCATTCACTTACTGTAGTTAGAATATTGCATCAGGTACGTAGGCTCCGTAGCTAAATGTAATTTCCTAATAAAGAACACATTCCTTTTTAAAGACAAACACCAGTTTAAATATAAATGCCAGTGAATTTATTATTTTTTCTCTGTGCACATATATTCAGCTGCATGAAGTTACTTACAGACACACACACACACACACACACACACACACACACGTATAAGTAAATATTCCTTCCGTGATGGGAAGTCCAGACACAATATACCTGTGATTAGGCTGTAATGTATCTACCCAGAAACAAAAGTTAGAAACAAAGGAGCAAAAACTGGAGTTTGTAATAATTTTACATCAGATCTTAATTTTAAATAGTGATGATTTTTCCATATTTTTAAACATTTTTACTTAAAAGTTATCCTACAGATAATATTATTTTATGCATGTGTGTGTGTGTTGCAAAAGTAGGATAGTGGCAAAAGATTATGAGTTATATCAGCCTTATTGTTCTTATACTGGTTATGGGATGACCTGGAACCCCTCTGTCTCTTCAACTGCTTTTTCTTTGTCCAGCCTGGGACTGACATCAAAGAGTTTTAGGACTTGAACAATTTTCTTCAGTTTCATTCCTTAAAAAGTGAAATAGTCTAGGTCTCTGATTCACTTACTGGAAAAGAAACAGCGTAATTCTTAAGATCAGGTCACGGGCGTCTGCAGGGAGGTCAAATCACAAGAACATGTTGTGATGTCAAATGTCAACCCCATAACTTATGTACTTGTGTCCAACATTTTGATGGAAGTACAGAAGGGCAGGGATTTGCATTGTGACCCTCCTGTGTGTTGTTTTTTCACCACTGTAGCTAGGCCCAGAGCTTGTGGGTCAAGCATATCTATATTGTTACAGTTACTGCCTGGCTGCTGAGTCACGGAAAAACAGGGACACTCTGCTCTCTGACACTCTCAGCCTTTTTATTATTATTCTTAAAGGCACAATCAAGCCTAAAATTTCCAGTCCCAAGAATAGAAACGTAGTTTAGAAACATTCATGCAATATAACATTTTGTTCGCTGGCAAAAAACGTGGCAAAAATGTAAACGCGGAGTGAGCTCCTAGGTTTGCCCTGTATCCATTTCCTCCCATGCTGATAGCAGACGAGAGTTCTCACAGGCTCCATGAGATGCTCTCCGGATGCTCGCCAGTGTTTCCAAGATGCAGAGAAAGACATGAAGGAGCCTCTCCTTCACGGACACAAGGTCCTTTTTGAGCCCTGGTCTGTCCCTCAGGAAGGATTCAGCTCAGAAACCTTGGAAGCTGCTACTAGATGATATTGACTCTTGATCCTTTTCTTAACAAATCATTTGAAGCTGTAAACATCTATGAAAAGATGCCATAATAGGACACATGCAAGAAGAGTAGGGAGGCATTTTGTATTAGGATGTGTTTTGCACACAAATCACAATTACATTGTCCTACATTGCAGCTTCGTTCACCACCCCACCAAAAAAAAAAAAAATCCTGCAGACTTCTTTGTAGTTCTTTTCTAGGGTGCACTTGGATTAGAAATGTGGTCAGTGTTTTTTCTCTTTCTTGTAAATACTTGCATTAATGCAGTTTTATTTTGAATTACTAGTTTTGTTCACTTAAGTTATAGGCTGCCTTTATAAAACTTGAAGGCACCCTTGCTCCCCCAGCTGCAACATTGCTTTGTGAACTTCTCTCTGCAGACCGTTTCAGAATGACCCAACATTTGATCCCGAGTTTATACTCTCCAAGTCCACAGCTGCATCTGGTTTATGTTCTTGGTGCTTAAACATTGTCCGCTTCTATGAAGTCTACTGTGATGTGGCACCTAAGCGGCAGGCCTTGGAAGAGGCTAACGCAGAACTGGCAGAGGCACAAGCCAAACTCACGATGATTAAAAATAAGATTGCAGTAAGTACGCTACAACTTCGCCTGGGTAATGTGCCAGACCCCGGGGCATCCCATCGAAGTAGGTATCAGCGTTCCAACTGGCTGACATTCACCGCTGGCGCCAAGCAAGAGAATTAATTAATTAGGCCTAAGTTACACAATTAAGCCAATGGCATGCAAATAACATTCTGTTGTATCTATACAGATCAAGAACCGGTATAAACATGAACTCTGAATCATGAATTCTCCTGCTCACGAATAAAGTGAAATGAAATCTGTATTGTAGTACTGGCCCCGGTCAGATGTGGTAACCCTGTGGCTTTCCGAAATTTGCTAAGCTATAACGGCAGCTCCAGCCAAGGGTGTGGAATGCTGGGAGTTGTAGTTCTGCAATAACTGAGGGGGTCACATGTTCCCCATTCTTGAGCTAAATGAGAAGTGTTCCCCCTTCCTTTCTTCCACAGAGCTAGAGGAATGAATTTAGTCTCAATTTAACAGATTTCTGGTTTATGAGAAGTACTGTGATTTAAAACATGCTCCAATTTTCCGGACAAACCATAAAAACATTCCAGTGTTCAAAGTTGGTTCCAAACAGGCAAGATGGCAGTTGTGGTGTCACAGTTGTAGCCCTGCCCCTTTGGGTGTGCATGTGACATGTCCAAAATGGACAAATCTTTGATTACATGCCACAATCACCATCTTGCCTATTTTGATACATGCACACTCTTGCCCTGGCAGATGCCACTGTTGGCTTGTTTAGCAACTGAACCACAGTTCCCGGCTTAAACGAAATAGCAAACAGACACCTGCTAGTTCTGATCTATTTCTCCTCCCCATTGGCTCAGAAGAGAAAACTGAGCACAGGCTTTGCATGAACTCACATCCACTTGTACACTGGTTTGTGAAGGAGAACCCGGCTCAATCAGGCCAATAGCCTACGTAGTTCTGTATCTATTTCAACAGAAGACAGTCAGAAGTTAACATGAATGTAACAGCTCTTTTCTACTGCATGTGAAGCTCAGTTAATTTGAACCTTGCTTAGTGGTGCGGGCTTGGTTTGGTTTGGTTTGGTTTGGTTTTGGCTTGGTTTTATTTATTTTAGTTTATTATTTTATTACTTCAGTTTATTAGTTGGCAAACCTAGCCCCTTTGGTTATTTTATTATTCAATATATTGTGCAAACCCAGAAAATAGATTAATTCAGAACCTATGCTATACATAGTTTGTTGTGAATCCTTCGTTACTTGGAGGCATTACTTTTACTAGCACTACATCTCTTCTTTAGGGCTAAAGTATGACTAGAACTCACAGCCTCCCAGTTTCTAGCCCAGGGCCTTTAACCACTATACCTAACCAACTCTCTTTTTCCATATTGAGTGTCTTTTCACAAACCTCCATTACATTTCCATTCTTTGCCTTTTTTCTAACCTAGCACTTCCCAGTCACTGTAGCCCTTTCTTCCTCACAGCCTTAGACAAGTTTACTTGACAAAATTATTGTGATAATTACTGATAAACATTATGTGAAGGCTTTGTAATAGTCAGTAGAATATTCAGGGGGATCCACAGGGGAGGGTTGGGGGGGGCAAATGATGAAAGCAGAGTCACACAGACACAACGCAGCCTCTGCCCCTTTTCTACCCGCATTATGATGTTGTAGACACATACAAAAGGGGCAGAGATTATAGCATGACACTGCTTTCATCATTTTGATGAACGTGATAGATCCTGCAGACACCTCCAAAAATATTATGTAATTATGAGCATTTCCAACAACAATTGGGGGGGGTTGGAATCTTTGTTTTTTTAATCGAACCAGTGTAGCTGTCTGCTTTTCTGTGATGGATCGAAGTGACTCCCCCATCAGATCTGGTTACATGATGCAGCATTTACCCATCACAGGAAATCAGCCTGCACATAAATGCTCAGTTTAAACCAATTTGCTTTTAGCCAAAGTATTGCCTCATTAATATGAGAAGAAATTGCATCAGTTTAATTTCTTCATCATTTCCATACAAGTAACTGCAAACTTTTTCTTTGAAAGGATCTAAATGCCAACTTAGCTAATCTGACTGCTGAATTTGAAAAGGCCACAGCTGCGAAAATCAAGTGCCAGCAAGAGGCTGATGCAACTAACAGAGTCATTTCATTGGCTAACAGGTACAACACTTTCTAGGGCGTTCTTTGACAATGCTGGCTAACTGCCATAAGTGGCTTTTGTCGGCATGAACTGACCGCATGAGGTCCCTGCTTGATCTTCCTCTTTTTAAAAAATGAAAGCTAGCAGTGGGGCAGAGGACTGCGAATGTCTTGGAACCAGCAGTTATAGGAAGGGAGTTAAAGCATTCATACCCCCCCCCCCATTTTCCCATTCAAATCAACTCTCATAAATGGGTGTTATGAACATATGTGCTGTCTTAATTTTCTTAGCGATAAGTCTGGGTTTAAGTATAGTATCTGAAAGTATTTGCTTCATTGTATCAAAAAGCATCCAGGTATAGGAGATTTGTTAGGGTCTTCCTGCATCATCAGAAGCTTGGTCCTGAAGACTAATATTTCATGCGTGTATGTCTTCCAGAATTTCTAAGAGACAGAATCCCAAGTTAAGTTCAGCACTGAACCTCCTCTCAAGAAGAGGGCGATAACTGTTGGCAGGGTCTTTGATTTGCTACACCAAACTGTAGTATTGTTTTCAATTAATCATGGCTAGGATACATGACCCCTTCATGGATCATTGCCTTGTCGTGGCGAAGGGGCTCGCGTAACTCAGTGAAGCCATGAGCTATACCGTGCAGG